ATATTCATGTTATTCAAATTAGGAATCATTGTCAGCATGTCTTTCTTTGGGCCTTTGTGCCGCCCTGCAACAGAATACTGTCTCAGTCAGGCAAAGACTGGATACCGTCTTTAGTTTGGGCCCTTTCCACATCAGATGTGTATCAGTATTTTGGCCTCAAATTTTTCTCTCCCTAAAATAATATCAGCTGGCAGTTTGTCCACCACTGCTGTTGCCTAATTATACCTTTTTATATCCCTTTATTGGCATTATGTGTCAGTTGTAGAAGCATAGTTTTCATTATTTTATTGCTAATAAATAGTAAAGCTTTCATAGATTGTCCATAAACAAAATACTGAAGCTTTGTGGCCTGGCTGCTTTCATAAGAAACAAATAAGCTCTTGACCAATTATATACCATGTATATCTGGCATAGTATTGTGGGTTGTTGTTCAGTTTAGACTCATGAGCATGTTTGATGTTGCATGTTTGGTGTAGTTTAGATGGCTGAGAACTGCTGAGCCTGTTTAGTGGCTTCAAGACCTGAGGTCAGCTTGTATTCCTTGACCCAGGTTTGACTGTCATATGGGGGCACTCAAAGCAACTGCTCCGAGTTCAGCAGTTCTCCAACCATCTCCTTGATGTGAATATCTGGCCTGGCCTCTGTTCTGCAGACAATTCGATGCTTCTGTTGGAGGTTTCCCCCTCTGGTCATTTCTTGCAATTGCTGATGGTAATGTTAAACTTCTGCAGAAGCTAAACTTTCAGGTGGTCATAGCCATCTACAGTACTTGATCCTCATCCATCACTAAGTATGCCTATATAAGGTATATCTTGTCCCATTAGCAATGGCACCAACTAATAGCTCTACTCCTCTCCTTGAGAGGCTAGCTGCTCAAATTGCCACAAGACAGCTTTCAATGTTGTCCCCCAATTGTAGTGCAAGATTCGGCATCTTTGTCAACATGACAGGCTCTGCTGATTAGGGATGGTTAGTGTGTCAGCATGCTGAACTAATATTGATCTACTGGATACTCTGCACAGTGCAGGAGTCGGGTGCTCCATTTGTGTGATTGTGGTGTTTTTTTAAGTCCCTGCTGCAGGTTGACCTGTCTGCAGAATTGAGTCATGTAACACCCATAGCTCTTGAAGGTATCTGAGCCACTGCACATTGAGAAATTGACTCAAAAGGAATGCCTCTCCTGGAATGAGATGGGCCCGGCTCGCTCTAGATACTTGGGAGCCCCTCAGATGCCTATTCCTCTTTAACAGACTAAGAATGTAGATGAAAGGTCTTTTCCCTTTGTGCTCTTTTATGAATAGCTATCCCACTATTACCACCATTGATCTAATTTGTCAGCTGAAAAGGAAAACTGAAAACTGTATTAACCGTTCATCATAAGATTTTGCTGTTTAACATCTACAGATATGCAAAAAAAATTTATGGAAGGACAGTCTTTTTACTCAAAGTTTATTAATAAAATCCGTGATAATCCTAGAAGGCAATTCTTTACCATAGGTTGTTTAATAATTTCTTGACCAGCCATCTTTAAGTATGTATGAAGATTAAATCTTTTTATGATTGAAATTGGAAGTTACCACAACATAAAATGGATAGTAAAGAGAAGCATTTGCAAATTTTTCATTCTTTCATTTTCTTTCAGCTTTGTTCCTTTATTCTTAACTCATTCAGCATATGTTTTACACAGCTGATGCCCTTCCAGCTGCAACCCAGTGCTGGGAAACCAAAATTCACACATATACTCTACAGCCAATTTAGTTAATTCAGTTTACCGATACCTTATGTCTTTGGACTGTGGAAGAAACTAGAGCACCCAGAGAAAACCCATGCATGGAAACATGGAAAGAACATACAAACTCCAAACAGAAATGCAAACTGGTCCAGATGGTACTCGAACCAGCAGCCTTCTTGCTGTGAGGCGAACGTGCTACCCACTGAGCTTTGTGCAAATTTTATCTCAGTGAAATTCCTCTTCTAGCTGCCTTGACCCTATTCCAACAATATATTTAAAGAAGTAAATAATTGATTGTAAACAGGAACTTGTACAAATGCTTTAATAAAAAAATAATAAAAAAACTGTTGTGAAGCCACGTTTAAAGAAACCAAACCTGGATTGCACCATCTCTAATATTTACAGACCAAATTTCCATTTTTAAGTTTTAGATAAAGTTGTATTGCAACAGCTTAATACATTTTTAGATGAGCAGAGAATTTTGGGATAAATATCAGTCAGGTTTAGGCAAAGTAAAAAAAAAACTTAAAAAAAAACTGAAACAACATAACAAAAAGTAGTAAACGATCTGAGATTAAATTCGGATAATGGTAATGTATCAGTTTTAATCCTCCTGGATTAAGAAGACATGCAGTACAGGTGAATTGGTTTGGCTAAATTGTTCGTAGTGTATGAGTGTGAATGAGAGTGTATGAATGTTTCCCAGAGATGGTTTGCAGCTGGAAGGACATCCGCTGTGTTAAACATATGCTGGATAAGTTAGCGGTTCATTCCAATGTGGCAACCCCAGAATAATTAAGGGACTAAGCCAAAAAGAAAATAAATAAATGAATGAAAATATTAATATTCTAGAAGCATAATCTTGTATAACAAATAGAGCTGTAAATGTTATATATTATTTATATACTTAATTTACAGGTGGCTTTTAAAAAAATTTAATCAACATTAAAATGAATGTAAATTCCTCTTTGCCAGATATAATTAAGGGATCAATTAAACTAAATTAATACAGTTGCAAAAAAATGATAAATATTACATAAGCAATGTTTCAGAAGCCGATGGACATCAGTTGATGAATTAATGATGCGAAGTTTATTGTACAAATTTATAAGGATTAAATATCCAACAGGAGTAAATATCCTGTTGACATTTAGAAATCTTGCTGTATTTATCATTTAAATGCACGATTTTTCCCGCATGGTAATTCGTTATCTATGGTGTGTAGGCTATATTTTGGGTCCTGTTGATTGCTAATTAAAAATCAAAACCTTTCTAAAATGTATGTGTTGTTTATATGTTATTATTCATGTTTTACAAGTGTTATTTTGTTCCCCTGTGAAGATAACAAATACCAACAACCCTATTATAAGATAATTTTTTTGTGCTCATATTAATCTAACTCAGGCTAGAGTGCATGAAAGATTGTTTTTTTCTGCAGTTCAACATGTATTGCTTTTATTAAATTATAACAGCTGACATCACACAGTTTTTAAATTGTATAGTATTACGTGTTTTTAAATGGAAGTGCTTATATGTACTTTAGCGACCCTTTGTTGTAGTGCAGATACCGGCGGTCAAGTGAGAAGTTCGGGGGGCGTGGTTGATTTGACCTACAAGCATTTGGTTGGAAGCTTGATTCCGCAGCTCCTCCTCTGCCTTCATCAGGCAATCCTTCTGCGCATGCCCAGGCTCCAATTTCAACAGTCTTTTGCGACAGTTTGTGCCCGTCATGAGGGGTTTTGCCTTCAAAGCATTCAATGGGAAAAGGAACCGTCACGTCGTCCATATTGTATATAGTCATTGAATTCAACATGTAGCTTGATATATTGACTAGTGTAACATATAACAAACAAACGTACAAAACATAACAAAAACAAGACAGAAAAGCAAGGAAAATAGAGATTTTAGATAAAAAGGCAAATCTAACTCTTGCACAACTATTAAGAACCAATAAGTATGTAAACACCTTAAGAGGCCTCAGCATAAATGCACAACTAAATACTTGTATTTAGTGGGTCTTTGTTTCTCGTGTTGTGCTTGTTAGATGAAGTCTCTTAAGAGTTACTTTGTTGTTTGCATGGAGTTTGCTGAGCAGATAGGGGGATATGCGCGATGCAGGCTTTTAACCAAGTTACATTTTGGCACAAAATAAAAAAACAACCTCAGCCAAGTCCTGCGTGTACAGAAAAAGGGTCTCCCATGGTGTTAGGAAACATCTGCGATGATGTTGGGGTTTAACAGTCATTTAAAAGACTAAACAGACTAAACTATAACTCATGGTTTGAAAATACACCAAGCATACAAGTTATTATTCTATGTTATACTGTAGGTCATGAGCTGTAGAATTATGTATGGAGAAGAATGACACCAAACATGACAATTTTAGAAATATATAAAACATAATTCATGCATTCTTAGTAAGTCTAATGTCTTGAAAAGGGCATATACTGGTGTAAGAATTCAAAGTGTAATAAAGCAAGAGAATACTTAGGTAACAAAAATATGAATTTTAAGATTTATAATGAGTCAATTTCAATAGTGTGTGTCTTTGGGTGTGTTCTTTTTTTTTTTGGATTGTCTTTTAGGATGGAACAGGTTGGTTCTGGCAAGGATCTTGGTAGATAAGATGTCACTGAGTGACTTTCACCAGCAAACTCGCTAGCACCAGTCATAAACTCACATAGAAAAAAACAAGAACCTTTTTAGAGTTACAATGAAATTTCACCTTAGGACTGTATGTTACAATTACTGCATCTTGATTAACAGGTTGGAAAAACAAATAGGTTTGTCTGGAACATTTTAAAATTAGGTCAATCTGTATATTTATTTTATATTTATTTCTATAGCGCTTTTACAATGTAGATTGTGTCAAAGCAGCTTAATATAGATGAAGTTCTAGTGAATTGAAACTGCTTTAGTTAAGTTTTCACAGTTGAAGTTCAATTTAGTTCAGTTCAGTATAATATAATTGTCACTGCTGGAAGCTGAAACACTGAAGAGCAAATCCAATGCTCCGCAGCTCCATAAGTCCCAAACCAAGCAAGCCAGTGGCAACATTGGCAAGAAACAAACTTCAACAATTGACGAAAGTGAAGGAAAAAAAACTAATTGAGAAAAACCAGGCTCAGCTGGACACAGCCAGTTCTCCTCTGGCCACAGTAGTAATTGTAGAAGTAGTAGTGGTGGTGGTGTGGTCTGTGATCTCTATGAATAGTTCACTTTTCATTTACATATTTTTCTTCATTTCTGTCTATCTTTTTTCTGATAGTCTACAGGGGAATAAGTGTCAGCTGAGCTGTGAACCTGGCACCTATTATAATGGGCACCGAAGGGCATGTGAAAAATGCCACTCTACTTGTGCCACCTGTGCAGGTAAATGCTCATTATTGTTTATATTATCATTATCATTATTATTATTGTTATTATTATTATTATTATTATTGTCATCGAGTAAATAAATGGGTAAAATAGAGGTTTCAGACTTTTGGGCATATTAAATATATAATTGCTTATTTAATTCTTTGGATTCAAAAAAATAAAGAAAGGAAGTTCTAGAAGGAAGAAAAAAAAATTTTTGGTATGGTTTTTCATCAATTTCTGGACAACTGCTTGTTTTTGAGTGGCGGTCCTTCTCTGTTGAGATCAGCTTAACAGCTTCAGCCTATTTTTAACCATGCCTTTCTGACCATTAGTTTGCTATGAAGGTATGATATAAAAAACATACTGATGTGCATCCACTTTATTAGTTTACATGGTTTTTAACATAGTTTTACTCCTAACTCACCCTGTAAGTAATAAGTCATTTTGTAAGATGATTCCATGTTTGTTTATTATTTACACTGAATTATTAAAAACAGTCAAATAAAGATTTACTATGATCACAGAGCTATGTTTCCATATCGAGATGTGCATGAGAATCACAGCTTTTGATAAATCATGATCTCCAGTTAATTTCAAATATTTGCACAACTTTACTTATGGGAGTAGGTTTTCAACTAGAAATCTGTCATAAGAAATTATTGCATTATTCAAGCACATGATTGTAATTAAATTCATTCCATAAATATTGTCTTGTTTTGATAATATGTAAAAAATTAAATGAGTTTTTCCTTAAAACTAGCAAAATAGCAATGGGGTAGGTTAAAAAATTGTTCCATTTCCTTTAGACAAGATTATTTTACCACATTTGCAGATAATTTAGCTTTTTTTATCTCTGGATTTTTTTTTTTACTAATACACTAGTACCAATGGTCTTCCTAGCATTCTCAGAAGAAAAGTTTCAAAATTAATTTTCTTTGTGTGCATTGAAAAGTGTATATCAGATTATTTTGGGAAGATTATGGAATTTTCTGTACTCAGGAACTGGCTTGGAAGCATGCAATGAGTGTGCTCTAGGCTTTTACTTTGAGGAATGGCGTTGTGTCTCCAGCTGCAGTGTGGGATATTACTTGGCAGAACAAACAGCTGACAATGGAGATGTTCAAAAGTCCTGCCAAAAGTAAGTATTTCACTTCTAAATGTGGCATTCAAGAAAGTGTTTACACACAAACTAATGACATATTTTCCTCTGCACTGCTGTGATTGTGTATCTAGGTGTAATCCCACCTGCTATGCCTGTTCAGGGCCAGGGGACAGAAACTGCAGCAGCTGCGTGAATGGCTATAACCTGGAAAATGGTGTGTGTGTCATCAGCACCGTCTGCAAAGATGGTGAGTACAGTATGTTTGTGTGTGCTAGTGTCTAAATTTTGTTTTCTTTCCTATATATATATATATATATATATATATATATATATATATATATATATATATATATTCAGTAAAGGCTAATACACTGGTCACAATAATATATATATATATATATATTTTTTTTTTTTTTTTTTTTTTTTTTCTTATTTACCGTGAAACATGTGTATTTCTGTCACCCTTTGACACTGTAAAATTGTATTTTTGTTCACTTTCTAAATGTTTATTCTCATTTTCTTCCCGATGATCTTTCCCTCAAATCTTTCCATCCTGGATTCCAATCACACCTGGATTTTCTCCTTCTTCGACCAATCAACTGGATTTAAAAAATAAATAAATAAACCAACAAAACAACATTTGCCTGTCACCTTGACACAATCTACATCACTTTCTGTCTGCTGGCCAATTGTCTCTCTGCTACTGTTTTTTTCTGTTTTCTTTTTTCCCTGATCTCTGGAAAGCAAATGAAGAATCGTGGGCTGAGGGAAGTTTCTGTGTGCTAGTGAAAAAGAACAATCTGTGCCAGAGGAAAGTTCTTCAGCAGCTGTGCTGTAGAACATGTTCTCTAAAGGGCTAAAGGAACATTTCCAGCCTCATCTGTGGCTCACGTTCTGCTAATTTATATTCCAGTCGGGAGCCTCAAATATGGGACTACATCTTAAGGTTTCTCAATGCCAGAACTACAACAAACCTACCTTTATCTTTGTGTGTGTGTGTGTGTGTGTGTGTGTGTGTGTGTGTGTGCGTGTGTGTGTGTGCGTGTGTGTGTGTGTGCGTGCGTGCGTGCGTGCGTGCGTGTATATGTGTATTTGTGTGTGTGTGTGTATGTGTGTGTGTCTTTCTGTGTCTCTGTCTTTGTGTGTTGACAGAAACTTTCATTGTGGTGTGACTGAGATCAGTAATAAACAGCAAATCATACATGTCAGTATTTTGTGACCAAAGCAAGGATGCCAAATTTTGTACCTTTTTTTTTTTCGCTTTGGGTCCAGAGAAGAATAGGTGGAAGATTCGGTAGACTTACTAAATGTTGAAGCAGCATTTCTGACTTTTCCACAAGTTTCACAAATGATGACAAAAGTTATGAAAACCAATCTCTACACATTAAATGCAAACATCTGTAAGCAAATGGCCAACTATAAACCATAACACAGGTTTGTCTACTGACCATTACGACTGCAGTAAAATCAATAGCTGACTGAAGTACAAGGTACAATTAGTACTTCAAAGCCATGAGCCTTGAACTAATGTTAATGACCTGCCATTTAGCCCAGGAAAACCACTGCGATTAGATTAAAAATGCCGTGTCAGGTTTGTCTCACTATTGAGAGTTTCTTCTTTTCAGGCTCATCTGTTTTTGTATACTTGCATGTGTGTAATTGTAAACACCCATAAGTTGCATAAATGGAAGAATAGGTGTTGTGAAACCTACATATAACCACAGAAAGATGTTAGTGTAACCATGAAGAATCAGCTGAAGCACAGGATTTAGTTGTGGTAGACAAAATAAATGACTGAAACATATTTTAAATGTTATTTTTTACCAAGCCCTTGTGATAAATCTTCTGATACATTCCAATAAATCCGTATTTGTGTATTTTATCTCTCCAATTCACAAACAACTCTCTTTGAAATCCTAGAAGATTTATTTTAAATTAACAAGGAACATTACAGCATGTATGTGGGTAGATCAGAGACGATTTATAGCATTTAGGTGAACTTCACAATAGTTTTTCACACCCATGACAGTGTCCATTTCAACCATTTCCCCTTTGTCTACTTGTCTTTTTTTTTTTTTTTGATTCATCATGCAGATTAAAAGTTAGACTACTATTTTATTTAAGGTTTTGTTAAGAATAATAAGTCCTCTATTCACTTAACTGGTGCTATTGAATAAATTGAATTGTTAAAGACATAATATTTGTGGCTATTTTTTAAAACTTGGATTTGATCAGTCAAAAAAATTCATGAATTACAAATAAAAACTTTTAGTGTAGAAATTAATATAATCTCAGTGGCCATATGTTACTATGTAGTATATCCCTGCTGCAGTATCCTAGGAAAAAAGTAAAGAAATGTATATTGTGTTTTAATAAAGGTCAGAAAAGAGATGAAATGTTTAGTGCTACTAATATTACTACACAACACAAATTTGAATTATACATTAATAGAGAACGTCTTTGACCAATCCACTTCTGCTCAATGTTAAGGGGGTCTTTATATTTTTATTTATGAACGATGTGGTTTAAGATGGCATAGGCTTTTATTTATGAAAAAGATGTATAAATGGTAATAGCTCAGATGAGTCATGTGTTGTGGACTGGATAGTCCAGCCACTTTATATTAATTTTGTGCTCATTACTTTAAACAGCATGATTATAAGTTTTCTGTGCTTTCAGTAAATGCAAGTTTGCATAACTAATGTTATATAGAATTACAAAAAGAAGTCTTTGTTCAAATGTCTTACGTTTGCTTTGTTTTCCCAATGTTTTTTTTCTGTAAATGTATGCATGCATCTTTTTTTAATTAACCTTGTAAAACACGTTTTACCCACAATTGAAGCAATTCCCCTTTTGTACTACTGAGAAATACCATACATCAGCATAAATTACATTACCTGTTTAGAGGATTTAAAAAAGGCCATGTATTATAATTTCAGTCTTATATTTTATTTGACTTTTTTGTTCTTAATTAATTGTAATGATGACAGTGCATTAACTGTTGCTGATGTCATTTTAAAATTCTTCTGTGAATGTGTCCTTTCACTTTAGATTCATATCCGACAGTTATATATGGCTATTCTGACATTGTTACATGTATTCTGCCTATATGTTGATTTAACAAAAAGCATTTGTAAGCAGAATGCAGAACAGAGTTTGTTGCATCTTGTGCTGGAATATTTAAATTGATAAAACCTTAAGCATGCAAGTTGGCAAAAGTGAAGCGAAAGCAGAAAAGTGAGAGATGGCAAGAGAGGGAGAGCATCAGCCTGCAACAGGTATCACAGGAATCACATATCCAAGTCAGATAGCAAAACACTCTCTTTGCTGTAAAATTAAAACAACGCATTAACTGCTCAGTGCACACATGTACTGAACTGTGACAAGAACCGAATACACACACACACACACACACACACACACACACACACACACACATATATATATATATATATATATATATATATATATATATATATATATATATATATATACATACACACTTGTATGTGTGTATGTATATATATATATATATGTATATATATATATATAAACTACATATATTATATATATGTAGTCATAGCCAAGAAGAAAATAATTTATGTAGATAAAAAATATGTTTCTTTATTTCTTTATTAATGAACTTCTAAAATAAAAACAACACTAAAAAACACTACATTTATTGTGTGATTTACTATGGCTATAGGAAATATTCCATTAAGTTGAATTCTTGTCGTTAACTCATTTGAAAAAATTTATCTTCTTTTTGTTTACTTACAAAAAGCCCTTTTAGTTTTAAAAAGAATAAATACATTTGAAAAGACCGAAAGCTGCATAGGTCACAGTGTCTTTTAAAGAGAAAATATATGTGCAGCCCCTTGTTCTTACCTGTGGCTATGACCTACTGCACAGTATGCTGCATAGCATGATATAACCTTTGCCGTTGACACAATAGTAGTTCTTGACAGTGTCTGTAAACATTTTAGCAAATGTATTATAATAAGCAGTTTAAGTGAGAAAACGTGTACACCTTTATCTTACTGTGTTCCTTTAAGCATGCTGATTGACAATTCTGTTATTTATCATAAAGGTTCTTTGCTTTAGAACTTAACATAAGTGAAATTTTGGAATGATGGTGGCGCTAGAGAGTTTGAGTAAGAGAATACAAATTTGTCTTGGTCTAAAATCAGACTGTCCTCTATCAGTGAACTGCCATTGACTCCCAGAGCGGAAGAAGTAGAATAATGATAAGAACCAGACCGGATATAATAGGTGCCTGTGCACCTTCAGTGCTCAGCCCCTAAATATAGCTGCAAGCAGCAATTAAGGGGCCAACCAGTCCTGAGTCAAAATAAGCAAAGCAGTCCAGAAGCCATGAGCAACAAGCTTGGTAGGGAGTGATGGGTCGTTCTTGAACGGTTCGTTCATTTTGAAGCAATCTTTAACATGACTCAGGAACTACAAGTCCTCTCAGGGAGTAATTTGCTCATCCGTGTGAGCGCACATTTGTGCAGGTGGTATCGTTCATTTTTCAAGTCTTTTGAGTCGTTCATCACGAAAAGGCAGAAGCCAATCGTTTGCGTTTAGAGACAGAAAGAGATTTGATCCGTTCATCTCTCGAGTTCTTTATTAAGTTTGAGTCATTTATTCATCACAGAAAGGCAAGCCAATCATATGCGTTTAGAGCCGGAATGAGATTTGATCTGTTTATCTCCTCAGTCATTTGTTTTTCTTACTTGACTTGACACTACAGCAGAATTTGGTGTAGAAATTAGTAAATGGTTCCAAATCCTCTTTAAAGCCGGGTGCATCATAATCATTAATTATTATAATATTATAATTACTATTAATATTGTTATATTATTATTATGTGCATTTCTGATCTTAAACTGCTCCACTGTACACTGCAATGAGAACCTCAGTCAGTAATATTTATGTAAAGCTGATTTTTTGTTGCATCATGGAACATATTTGAGACTTTTCATAAAATCATCAAACTGTGTACCTAAAAAGCATTTTCTTAGAAATAAAAACGGTCTTTCCTATTGTCACTAAGTTGTTGTTACTTTTTTTTCTGGTGGATATGTGGTTTTATTTTTTAGTCTACAAATGATGGAACCATAGTTTTAAAAATATATATATTGTTTGTCTATTTGCTGCCTTGCTATCAAAAAACAAACACTAAGCTATGATATGATAAATTTATCAAATTTTACAATTACAAGTGATTTGTAATTTGTTTAATTTTTTGCAGACTGTGTATTGGTCTAATATTTGTATAAAAAAAGATCATTGAGCATTTACATTTACTCATTTAGCAGAAGCTTTTATCCTGCGACCAACAAGTAATGATAAAAGATGCACTTCAAATCATCACTCCTCTCTTGTGCTTTCTTTCCCGTTGTGTGACAAAAGAGCGAATGAACTAAGTGATTCATTGATTCGCACATGCGCACGTTGTATATAGTGCAGGAGAAGATTATTTCATTTTTTGAGTTTTGTTTGTTTATCATGTGAAAGAATAAAATCTAGTCAATCATATGCATTTAGAGCCCGAAAAAGATTATCATGAGATCACAGGGTGCGTTTGACCCAAGGAATCAGAGAGAAAAGAATTTTGATTGTAGTCCATTCAGTTCAATAGTTATAAAGATTTGTAAGACTAATGGTGGAGCTACAGAGTTTGAGATAGAGATTTCAGGTTTGCTGTGTTTTATGTTTACACTGTCCTATCATTGTGCCAAATTATACAACTTTACCACATACAGCTAAATGGGCTGCCATTCAAATCCAGTGGAAGAAACAGAAGAATTAGACATTTGAAGTCTATTTTACTTAAAATGTCAGAAAATCTTAAAAACAACGATTGTCAAATATATATTGGTTTATAACTGTTTATAACCAAATTTATATGGTGCGGTCAGTGTGACACATCAAGTTTATTGTCAATATATTGAAGCATTGTACAGTTACAATCTCAGATTTGCCATTGGTCCAGTGAAAAAAAAAAAAAAAAACTTAACGCCTATTGACACAAATTCTTTAACTTTTTTTAGTATACTCTTTAAATGAGGTGAAAATTGGATTTACGGTTGAGAAGTTAAAAAATTTCTTAAAACAATCAAAATGGCAGACAGAAATTTTGCAGATGATGGTATAATTGGTGTCTGTGTTGTCAGCATGACCCAAAGATTAATTTGAGACCAATTTTGTCAAAATAAGCA